TTTGTCAATTCGTACTTGAATGTATAATTTTTACGTTCCGGTTAGCGGTTACGGAAAAGAATTTATAAAATATGTCAAATGCGTTGCAGAATGAATTTTTATTACGTTTCCTACAATTTATTTTATTAACAAACATCAAATATCATATAAACATTCACTACAGCCTTCTCTCCGATTTAAACTTGCCGCTGCTGCGGTACGTGGTACCCGACCCCACCACGTGGCGGCGCCATGTATAGGAGGAAGCCATTCATGACCGCCAGTATACATGTGATATTCTTGTAATGGTATGGTTTGTTTATGGGTGTGTGTTTGAGGTGCGGGGGACGTATGTGCTTGGTACTATGTTGGGGGCTATTGCATGGGTGTGTAGTGGGTTATTTGTTTAATTTTGTCTTGTTTGTTACGAATTAAAAATACCTAGTTCGGGTTAGATGAGGGCCTGTTGTCTGTCATGTAAGTTTTAGCCGTTATAATTCTACTGTATATTTTTCGAGTGTGTCCTGTATGATGTATAATCCTATGTTTCAATTTCTATGTACCTATATTTGTTTTTATTTCTGCTTCTTATGTTAAATTCTTATTTTTATTCGTCGATTCCTGTCTGTTTAATTATATCTCCCTGTATCTGTATGTTTGTCTTTTGTATTAGCTCTCTATTACTATATATCTTTTATTTTTCTATTAATTTTTCTTCTATTTTTCTGTATTTCCTGTGTCTTTTCTATATTTCTCTTCCTCTCTTTCGGGTTGGGAGTAAGAGGGGTGCGAGGGGGGTGTGGATTGTTAGTTGGGCGCCAATTTATAATGGGGAATTTGTAATGAGGGGCCGGGGAAGACGGAGGGGGAAGAGAGATACAGAGAGACAATTCGAGTAAAGAAAATAAGTTATTTATTTAAACCTACGAACCTAGCCTTCTTATCCTACTTTAACCGTTTGAGTCCCAGGGGGTATTGAAAAAACACTGTCGAAGAATCCCAAACAGCGCAATGGCGTTTCTTGAATTGTAAGATTGATTATTTACATTAAAAGAAGGAGCTGCGCGATGTACTTGGGTCAGTAAATCTGAGCGCGCGACTCCCACAATCGGTGACGCACCGTCAGTTGTCCACAACGCTCGAAATGTGCTGACTTTTCTCGACATAAAATCTGAACAGCGCGATCGCGCTGCTTGGGAATCAAACGGTTTATACGCAATTTCCTTAAATCTACTTACACCTACGAGGCGTGGACATACGGACGCCGACAGACAACGATGGCGGACGGGGCCGATGCCCCGTGGCGGTGGTTCGGCGGCTCAGTGTAGCGTAGCCGGCTGGGTCTGTTGGTGGTCCGTCTGCGGCGTGCGGATGAGCGTTGGTGGCACGAGCGTCGGGGCTCGTGGTACTTCGGGACACGCACTGGGCAGATTAATGGTTGTTCCGGGCTCTCGTGGCTATTCTCCTGGGCACGCACGTGCTACCTTCCAGAAGTTCCCGGCGGCAATCTCCTTGCTCGGCCGTCAGCCGTCTTCGACGCTCCGCGGCGTCGTTCGAGCGCGCCGGAGCAGTAGCATCGGCACTCGGCCGCGCCGTCGGCGCGGCGGCTTCGGCGCTCGGCTGCGCGGCCGGCGCAGCGGCTTCGGTATTTGGTAGCGCTGCCGGTATCGTGGCGCGCGGTTTAACTGTGGGTGACGGACTTACCCGTCACAAGGAAATGGACGAATGGTGTTTTCTTGCTCTCTCGCTTCTTCGCTTAGAAAAATGCTCGTCGCGAGGATCGTAGAAATTATCGAAAACGACTGACATTGGGTGTATAGGTGCGCCTCTTTTTATACTGTTCCCGAGGTGCGTTTTCCCAAAATTTCGGTGGAGGGAGGATACTACCCTCAACTTAGACATTGTCCTTTTAGATTAGTTTCTAACGTGTACTAAGAACGTATATTCGGAGCCTCAGATCGAGCCCAGGATTTTTCTTCTTCAAAGAAATAGACTCATCGAGTCTAAAATTCGTTCTTTTTAATCCAGACAACCGAAGGCCCCCCATTTTAGTTCTAGCGACGAGCTGTCGCCACGCTACGTAAACAGTAGATAAGTCGAAAGGAGTCCCGAAGACCTCGAGCCTAGCTGCTCCCAGTAATGTTCAGAATATTTAAAAAACGGAGACGCCGCGATGACGGATACCACCCCTGCACGGGCGAGCTCGTGAGCCCCGGCAGAACGGCGACATTAACAATCTCTTCACAGAAAAGTAAACATTAACTTCCGTCTCCCGAGGACACTTCCCCGAAATTCTTCGCTCCGAACCACTTTTCTTAGAAACATATTCTTTAACTCCTTCCTCCAATGGGAGATTCTTTCCAAACCCCACCATCGGGGACATGTCATTTTCATGCCCCACTGCCGGAATTTCGGGAGTCAAACGTCGGAGGTGGAAATCCTATATAAGTTAGAATTTAAGTAGCGAGCGTGACTCTTAATACTTGTAACTTGTAACTACTAAACTCGTAAACTCGTAAACTTGTAACCTCGTAACATACCATATAGGCTTATAACTCTTAATACTTAACTCGTCACACTTCTACTACTTACTTACTAGTTATTCAGTTCAATTTTCGAGACTACTTAAGTCAGTTTCACTTCACGTGCTCGCGCATCTCAAACTTAGTGCAACGCCAGCGAACGGACAGTAAATCCAGAAAACGAATTAAGATATTTAGAAGTGAGACGCAAAGATTCCGAATCGGATTAAATAAATATTTATTATAAAGAATCTTAACCTATGCTTATCCTACCTTACTCTACACGCGGTCAGGACAGCGGCAGTTGGATGATTCGGTGGGGCCATGTGGTTATGGCCGAAGGCCGGACGACAGCTCGAGCGGCAGGGCCGTATGGTCAAGGGCTGGCGTCGCGGCGGAAACCGGGTGGCGAGGCAAGCTGGACAAGCGAACTTGAAGGGGTCCTCGGTAGGAAGGGTTCGGAGATGATGTGTTGGATTCCGGGTATCAAAACATTCACTCCTCCGAAGTTACAGATACGTGTTCAGATGGTTAGAGGGGCAATGAGATTTCGCAAGAAAGTCTGTGGCTCCTGTAGCTCACGGCGTCTTAAAACTACCCTGAGTCCGCCCTTAGGGTGGTAACTAAATATGGGCATGCCCAATAACATCATAGAAATTTTAGAGGAACTAGGAAGATGAGAATTTCTGAGTGCCTAGAGGGGTAGGAAAAACTCGGTAGTAAAAGTGAAAATCTCGACCTTAAATGGAGATGAATAATAGCAAAAACGTTGAATTAACGTTATTGCACGGTCTCGAAGGTCCAGGGACTTATCCAAAATTACGATTCAAACTACCATAAAATTCCACAACACTAGTCATTGCAAATTCGGGTTATTTTAATTTATTTCTCGCGATCAGTAATTACATAAAAAATGTCGTGACCGACAATTAGGTCCTATAATTGCATCCAGAAGTAATACAAAATTGGCGAGACGGATACAGCCGAGACGCAAAAATTACCCTCAGTTGGGGAGCCCTTCACCCTCACACGCGAGGCCCACGAGAAACGGATTTTCTCCTTGTTTCTTTCTCTCTCCCTCTCCTCCCCCCTCCCCCTATCCCCCTCTCTCCTCACCCTCGATTCTCTCTTTTTTTTTCCCTCGTATCTTTCACCCCCTCCTGCCCTTTCCTATTTTTCGGGGTCTCAGCAAGAATGGGCAACTCAGTTTTTCGCCAAACCCCCAATGACCATGGCTAAACCTACGAATAACCGCCACGCGAAACGATACTCCGGCACCCGAAAAAGGACCGCACGACGGGCTGTGGTTTTACGACGTCGCGGGAGTGCCGCCGCCGAAAAGGTTCCTCCATTCAAGTAGGTGCTCGCGGAACTCGCGGATTCAGACATGGGAGTCGTGGGGTCACTCGCGGAACTCGCGTTCGTGAGTGACCCCACGACTCCCATGTCTGAATCCGACTGCGCTGCGACCCCGAGTTTACCAGCGGAATACCACGAGTTCCCGGAGTTCTTCGGTCTCCCCGTGGGTGCGCCCGCGAGTCCCATTAACCAACGGGGCAAACCCTCCGCGCCCAGACGGGGGTTCCTCCGCGGCTCCCTCTCGGTCGATCAAGGTCCGTGCGAAGTGCCGCGAACTATTCGGAGATGACATGGAACCATCTTCCACAGACTACCTTTACGTGTTCTCGGAATTCGTGGGAAAAGCGCCCATCTCACCTCCGCGGGATTAACTCCGTACCCCACGCGCAAAAGTCGCTACCGCCATTGTTTTTTTTTAACCTTTTTTTAGGACTGCAATAAATAATTGTGATGGACGCTTGACTTCATCGCGACGGACGCTAAGCGCCAAATTCTCCGGCAAAGACCTTCTGGACACCCTAGAGCGTATCAACATGAATTTTTTATTATACCAAGAGTATAGATTTCCTTATTTTAGTTTGTTAGATAATGATTATGACCATGTACGTAATTGAATAATTGTTATTGTAATAATACTGAATCTAAAACATATAAATATTACATGTTGACCTATGAAAATAACATTCGCGGTTCATAAGGACATTCTTTATTGAGTGAATAGTAAAATATTATGTGAAAGTAGAAAAATTTACATTGCCGGCTCAATTTAAAACAAACAATAAGGACGTAATTTATTATAGTGTTACTAACAAATAGTTGTCATGTAATACGTATAACAATGTTATTACGGGTCCCGCGAAATATTTTTTATTTTCTTTTAATACACAATGTGAGAATTTAGAAAAAATAACTTTGGTTCATTTCTTTTAGCGGCAGATAAATTGTTATCTCTTATCTCTTATCTCTTCACATTGATTCAAAAATTTTGTTTCGGAACGTATGAGTCTGTTATTGCAATATATAGGTGTTTAAAAGAATGCGTTTGGCACAAGTTTATTTTACGCCTAAGATGAGGCGATATAGACAGTTTTAAAAATGCTGTAAATTTGTAAATAAAGACAAATATATGGACGAACTTACTTAAAGTTTTGTTGATCCAATCAGCTAGATCCTCTTGCAGCGGCATAAGTTGCCTGATTTGAGCTGTGTGTAGTCTTTCGTGATAAAATTCGGCAAATTCTTTTTCTTCCAGGGAAGGTCTGGGAACGTCGGCTCGATGAAACACAGAAACGGAAGATGGACCCCAGCTGCTACGATATCGAGTATTTTGAGACGAGGGAAACCGATTTGAATACGACATCTTGCGTCCCCAGGAGTCACGCCCTTTTAGAGCTATTCTGTATCTTTTTCAAGAAGTTTACACGTGACTACACCTGCTGTGTAAGGACTTCCTTGACACCCGTAGTTGGCAGCAAAAGGGCCTGCAACGTAGAAACATATCCGTTTTATCGCTGAGCAATGGTAATGGGTACCTCTAAAGTGATTCTTCCTGGTCTGGACGGTTTCCTGGAAACCTTTGGAGAGGAGGATATCAAGATGGAATTCTTAATCGAATAGAAGGGCTGCATTCGACTGTCTGCGGCGTAGCAGCCTTACCGGCATCTACTCTGCCATGCCTTTTGTTCGAGAACGCGATTAATTGGCTGTGCTTCACATACTTATTACAGAAAATGTATACACTGTGGCAAAAATAGTACTGTTACGTCCCACGTAATGCTCCCTGCACGTGCGTTCGTAATAAATAAATATATATGTACATATATAAAACCCTGCACGTGCATCGGCTCGCGCATCGGACTGAGACCGGGAGGCCCATGTCACTTAACAAAAATAGTAAAGATGTCATTTTTGTTTAGACTCAAGCAGCCGAGGGCCACCCTGTTTCGGTCCCGCGACCCGCCGACCCCGAGAAATAGTGAGTAAGACAGCGGGATCCCGGCACTTGAAGTCCCATAAAATTTAAGATAGGGAAACGGGACCCCCGCGATAACCGACACCACCCCTGCACGTGCGAGGCCATAAATTGGGTCCAAACTTTAAACATTCAGTCTTCCTAGAAAAGAACAACAAATTCCCTCTCCTAGCAACATTTCTCCCAAATCTCCCCACTCCAAGTCAAACCTTCCAACCAAACTTCCCAAAATCCTACTCATTCCCCGAAGTCACATTTTTTCTAACTCCTCTTCCAATTAGGAACTCCCAAATCCCACTCTTACCCATTTCACCCAATTAATAATTTTTCCAAGTCCCACCACCTCGAAACAAACCAATGGGAATTTGACTTCTACCCTTACCCGAATTTTGGGCCTCAAACGTCGGGGGTGGAAATCATGTAAAAGCTAGTGTTTTAAGCAGCGAGCTCTCTCGACTTATCATAGTTCGACTTCAAGTTCTTACGCGTTTTGAACGATTTTCGACTACAGATAGTTAGTCCATTTCGCCGCATTAATTCTTCTCGAAGATCAAGCTTCCCGAGAAGGAACTAAGGTATTTAAGACACACACAGACACCGACACACACACGCACCCACACACGCACGCACGCACGCACATTTGTCAATTTCCAAACCCTTTCTTTTAATAAACCTTGTAAAACAATGTCCCACTTCTTTCATTTTTCTTACACCTTCACCAATAACGATAAGTTCGCGTAGGACTTGCTGAGGGGCCCACAAAATTCCTATCTCCCCTTTCCCTTATTCTCTTCCTTAAATCGCGAAGGAAGGCGTGGAGCTCTTGTATGGCTCCCCTTCCTTTCACTACTCCTTCCTTTCCTTAATCGTGAAAGAAGGCCCGGAGCTTTTGTGTGGCTCCCCTTCCTCTCACGACTCCTTCCTTTCCTTAATCGTGAAAGAAGGCGCGGAGCTTTTGTATGGCCCTTCCTCTCCCTACTCCTTTCCTTTCTTTAATCGTGCAGGAAGGCGCGGAGCTTTTGTGTGGCTCCCCTTCCTCTCGAACAGATGAAAATACCACACCTACATTGACCCCACGAACCAAAGCTACAGTCAATAATATCCCCCCTTTACCACCCGTAGATGGTCAAGCGAGCGGGGAAAAGGGTGGCTTTGCGGGCACTGTTCGCCCGTTTAGAAAATAAGCCCAAACCCACCTCCCGACGGGCTCCCCATAATAAAACCGAAAAAAGGGCCAAGAAAGAAGACGGAGGTCCCAAAAACCCGCGGACGGTCCTGACCCTATCGAGTCAGCGCCTGACCGAGATCAAGGCGTTGCTTCAGGCGTCGACCCCGCGAACCACGGAACGAGCAATACCCGCGAGACTGACGTCCGTGGAGATACGGACCCCCGTCTGGAGGTTGATCCCCGTCGAGCTTCCTCCCGCAGGAAAACAGAGAGAACAACCGGAGGAACAAAAGTTCACCACCGAAAAAGCCCCCAAGTTGATAATTATTGATGAATAAAATATATTGAACATAATTACATCGAATATTTTTTTCTTTTAATCCCAGACGTAACAATGCCCAAAGGATGGTTTCTCGATGATAACTTCCCATTTCCCTCTTCTTCGGGAAGGGGTAGGGTCATTGTAACGTAAATGTAAGGAATAATAACAGGTCTTATATGCAACCGAGCTGTCTGCCTCGCCTGCGAGAAGTCTAACCATTTGGTGGTTCTGTCGAAACTAATGTTGCCAACCAATTGTTTGCGCAATTACATAAGCAAGTTTAGAGTAACCTTGCAATATGTAAAATCTTACTATAATTGTGGTTAACGCTACCAGATAAACCTTCTATCTTATTGTAGTTATTATAACCTCTTCATATGGATAATATTACCATTTTAAATGTTGATCACTAGTGCACCTTTCAAGTGCAGCGCCATGGACAAATACCTATTGGAAAGGTTACGTTTATCGTTCCATGTGGTCAATTCCACTATTTGTGCGTTTCATTTACCACAGTATTTTAACTATGTCGCTATAGTAATTATAATCAAATTATTTTTTTCCGTGTACTGATAGGCGTAATTGATTAATGCATAAATTACAATGGCAATTTTTTACAACTCTTTCTAATGATACCTTCTCCACGCTTTCATACATAAAAACGTGAAATTTTATGTTTATTTAATTATTACTTTTTAAAATGCATGAGGTTTGATCAAATTTATATTTGGAATTCAGGAGAATACAATGTATATGAAACCAATCTCCAATATTAGAATTCAACTACTTAATCTCTCGGGTATATAAAGTGGAATTGATTTAAATGAAAAGTTACAAACTTATATTCCATAAAAGGGATTCAAAGCAATTGAATGCACAAATTTTTTAAAGGAGCTGGAAGGAATTAGACATTCCTATAATGTATTCCTCTAAACGGAATACAAAATAGTTTAATACCGATATTTTTTGCTGGACTAGAAGGAATTAAACAAACCAGAACCTCTTTTCGGAATTGAACAAAAACCAGAGTACACAAGGGGAATAAAATATAATTGATTCACTGAAAATATATTCCTGTTGCGGGAATTGGACTTGGAGAGAAAAGTCAGGCATTAAATAGAATAAAAAAATCATCACTTTTACGTTGAAACTGTGAGACATTGAATCCTATTTTATTCCAGCCTTTTTACCGGGTCACCAGCGAAGGAGGAAGTAGATAAAAAATCAGAGTATGGACGAAATTAACAGTTTTATCAAGATGAAATTTAGATATAAATATTAACACTTTACCGACCGGAAGCCTGTTAATCGGTTTTGCGATACCCGTGATCGCCATTTACTTCCAAATTCGACGGTCGGTAGTGTTAAGTGTGTGTTAAAAATGTTAAGTTACTTGATGTGTCTTTTTATTTTTCTAAATGTATCATCAACGATGCTGATTAACCTTTGGTAGACGTCTACCAGAGCTTCTATATATATTTTGTAGATATTTGTAGATCAAGAGTGGATACAGCATCTAAAAGAGACATAGACATTTATATGTGTCGTTTCAATGTTTATGATACATATACAATAGCCATATACATAAAATAGATCTATATATTATATTTACAAAAGATATTTTTATAATTGGAAGATGGACGTTATACATTTGCTATACCTATACATCTAATTTAAATGGGTATTATACGGATATTCCACTTTTTGCGGTGCCTGAGCAGTTTATGTTACCCCTCGAATATCCAAAATGGCGCTACTGGCCAAAAGGATGTAGCTGAATTTCATTTTATCGACGTCGATTAAATTTCTTGATGTCCTTTATATCACCTTAAGCAAGTTGTTCATACATATGTAAATGCCATCTAAACTATTGCTTAAATTTGATTAAAAATTTTACACTTACTTTAGATTCACCGGCTACACAAATCATGAAAATCAAGAAGAATTATCATGCTGCAAGCTTAAACATCGAGAATAATTGAAAACGACATTCTGGGATAGTTTTTGCTGTTACGATATGGCAACCAAAACTAACTATACGGCAGCCGGTGGTTTCCTTGCCCGCCCTGATCTGCCTTCTTCTATGTTTGTCTTGTATTCATTTTGACTATTTTTATTTATAATTATCTTATATACTTACATATTACAGAAAGTATTTTAAATATAACAACCTTTTCAACGGCATACACTGGTTTTTCCCAGCGTATAAATATTATCTTAATGTGTAAGTCCCTGTAATAATGGAACCTAACAGTGATATCAATAAACGTATAAATGTTGTGGCTGATAATCATCAGTAGAGGAAGCAAGACGCAGACAAGTATAATTAACTAAGTCAGTAAGACTCGAATTACATAATAGTTACTTTATTAATAACACCGTATGCAGATTATGAATGGCGTTTGTAGTGGCTACCTTGGCGAGGTAGATCTTACATTAAAATTGAATACGCACACAATGAAGTACTGCTGGAGTGCATCGATTAGAGAACCGCGGAAGCGGGATATTAAATGATTCGCTTTCTTTCTCATTAATATTAATTGACCCCTTGAGTCCCATTAATTACCATAGCTTCTGCAGTCTCCGCCCTTCGCTAGATAACTCTTTAATTTCCTTCCGACTCGTCCAAATGAATGTAAAGTTATGTTTCAAGTTGGCAACTTTTCAGAACAATTTCTTTGACATGGATTATTTGAAAAATGGATATCTAGAATGATTATTTGTTACATCATTTAACGTGTCTGTTACTCTATGTTCTATTCTACCGTCTATATAAGAAAATAATGTATAGGAACAACTCGATTATATCTAAACGTCGCCCAAGTAGAAAAAAGTTCAGTTTTTTCCGAGTTTTGTCTACTGACTAGTTAGTTTAACTAGATAAATCTAAATTAGACTGTTACTAGTTAGTGCCCTGCAGGGCTGAATTAGATAGTGTAAAGGAGACACTCCCCAGACACCGCACGAAATGGAATATCTATTACCCGTATAAAATTGTTTATTGAATGCATGTATGATA